CCCGGGCCACGAAACGTGTGAGGGGTGTGCCGAAATGGGGGGGTGGAACCGCATGCGGGCGCAGCCACTGGGGCGCTCGGTGGAGTTCCCTATGGAGCCACGAAACGTGTGAGGGGTGTGCCAGAATGGGGGGTGGTACCGCATGCGGGCGCAGCCACTGGGGCCTTCGGTGGAGCTCCCTATGGGGCCACGAAACGTGTGAGGGGTGTGCCAGAATGGGGGGTGGAACCGCATGCGGGCGCAGCCACTGGGGCCTTCGGTGGAGCTCCCTATGGGGCCACGAAACGTGTGAGGGGTGTGCCAGAATGGGGGTGGAACCGCATGCGGGCGCAGCCACTGGGGCCTTCGGTGGAGCTCCCTATGGGGCCACGAAACGTGTGAGGGGTGTGCCAGAATGGGGGGTGGAACCGCATGCGGGCGCAGCCACTGGGGCCTTCGGTGGAGCTCCCTATGGGGCCACGAAACGTGTGAGGGGTGTGCCAGAATGGGGTGGAACCGCATGCGGGCGCAGCCACTGGGGCCTTCGGTGGAGCTCCCTATGGGGCCACGAAACGTGTGAGGGGTGTGCCAAAATGTGGAACCGCATGCGGGCGCAGCCACTGGGGCCTTCGGTGGAGCTCCCTATGGGGCCACGAAGCGTGTGAGGGGTGTGTATGCGGGCGCAGCCACTGGGGTTTTCGGTGGAGTTCCCTATGGGGCCACGAAACGTGTGAGGGGTGTGCCAGAATGGGGGGTGGAACCGCATGCGGGCGCAGCCACTGGGGCCTTCGGTGGAGCTCCCTATGGGGCCACGAAACGTGTGAGGGGTGTGCCAGAACGGGGGGTGGAACCGCATGCGGGCGCAGCCACTGGGGCCTTCGGTGGAGCTCCCTATGGGGCCACGAAACGTGTGAGGGGTGTGCCAGAATGGGGGTGGAACCGCATGCGGGCGCAGCCACTGGGGCCTTCGGTGGAGCTCCCTATGGGGCCACGAAACGTGTGAGGGGTGTGCCAGAATGGGGGGTGGAACCGCATGCGGGCGCAGCCACTGGGGCCTTCGGTGGAGCTCCCTATGGGGCCACGAAACGTGTGAGGGGTGTGCCAGAATGGAGGGGTGGAACCGCATGCGGGCGCAGCCACTGGGGCCTTCGGTGGAGCTCCCTATGGGGCCACGAAACGTGTGAGGGGTGTGCCAGAATGGTGGGTGGAACCGCATGCAGGCGCAGCCACTGGGGCCTTCGGTGGAGCTCCCTATGGGGCCACGAAACGTGTGAGGGGTGTGCCAGAATGGACGGTGGAACCGCATGCGGGCGCAGCCACTGGGGCCTTCGGTGGAGCTCCCTATGGGGCCACGAAACGTGTGAGGGGTGCGCCAGAATGAGGAGGGGGAGGAGGGGGAGGAGGAGGAGGAGGGGGGAGGAGGAGGAAGGAGGAAGGAGGGAGGAAGGAGGAGGAAGGAACGCGGGGACCGTCTCTTCAAAACGAGGACCCAACAACACAGTTTGATTGGGAAAAAATGTGAGATTTTCAAAAAAAAAAAAAAAAAAAAAAAAAAACTGCGACGTACCCAACCCAATGGCATGAAGTGGCAAGCGGAGTAGGGAAACATTAGCAGGAACCGCGACAGTGCAGGCGCGGCGATTTGTAGTGCGACCTACATGGGATGCGTAATGTTGCACGACTCACAGAACAGCAATCGATAAGACGAGGAGTATGTCTCAAGGCTTGTTAAACAATAGCGGGGGCGGAAACGAGGGACAGGAGAAGGACGAACCCAGTAGGAAGGGGCGAGGAGCCATCGCAGCAGCAGCACCATGAACGCATAAGGTAACAGGAGGACTAGGGCGGCGATGATGAAAGAGGAGGGAGGAAGCAAGAGACTGTTTCGTTGTTGCAGGAGCTCGGTCAACGCATGCCTGCTGCCTGTCCACAGGATCATACCTGTTTAAATCTAGTGCAGGAAGCGATCGAGACCTAGCTCGCGCGCCAGCTTCTCTGCCTCCTTCCTGCATGTTGCAGTGCGGGAACTGACCTTCCGCAGTTTCTCCGCAAGGTCTGCCGGTGGGCCGCGGGCAAGAAAGTCAAGGCCGGGGTCGCGCACCATCAGTAGGTTGTCTATCGTCGTCGCCCTGGACAGCATCACGTAGAGGTGCAGCCACAGAGCGTCCAGGTCGTTCGCATCCTTGCACCCTGCGTCAACAATGACTCCGCGGTGCATGGTGCGGCCCTGGCAGGCAGTGGACGCAGCCCCCCAGGGACGGCGAGGTCTAATCTAAATCTGCGTGGTGCCTCACTCCGCTGGACCCACCAGCAGCCCTCGAAAGTGACGACAGTTTCGCAGATCGCAGCCCCCAGGGATGGCGAGGTCTAATCTGAATCTGCGTGGTGCCTCACTCCGCTGGACCCACCAGCAGCCCTCGAAAGTCGAGGTCTAATCTGAATCTGCGTGGTGCCTCACTCCGCTGGACCCACCAGCAGCCCTCGAAAGTGACGACAGTTTCGCAGATCGCAGCCCCCCAGGGATGGCGAGGTCTAATCTGAATCTGCGTGGTGCCTCACTCCGCTGGACCCACCAGCAGCCCTCGAAAGTGGTGACAGTTTCGCAGATCGCAGCCCCCCAGGGATGGCGAGGTCTAATCTGAATCTGCGTGGTGCCTCACTCCGCTGGACCCACCAGCAGCCCTCGAAAGTGGCGACAGTTTCACAGATCGCAGCCCCAAAGGGATGACGTAAAAGGCAAGAGAGAAGAGGAGGAGCGAAGAGAGGAGGAGAAGGGAAGCAAGAGAGGAGGAGCGAAGAGAGGAGAAGGGATGCAAGAGAGAAGAGGAGGAGCGAAGAGAGGCGGAGAAGGGAAGCAAGAGAGGAGAGGAAGAGGGAAGAGAGGAGGAGGAGGCGGGAAGGAAGGAAGGTGGAGACCGCAGTGCTCTATTCAAAACGAGTACCCAACGCAGGAGGGTTGGGAATAATCCAAAAATCGTCCCAACACTATTTTTTGCTATGTTTGAAGATTCCTCCTGTAGAGGGACACGCCCGACTTGACTCTACAGATGGCCTTCTTGGAAGCAGTCAGCATGCCGCGAGCAGCGACATTCTCAGCAGACCAACCACTCTGCCGCCAACGCCAGCGACCATGTGCAAAGAGACGCGGGCAGTGCTCGCCCAGTCGCCCCTCGCCGACCGAGCTGACAGACCCATCGCAGCCAACGTCACAGAGTCTTCAACGATGGTTGCCGCATGAACTCCTGGGGGCTTCGCCTTTTGCTGCGCTGCCGCTGCTAAGTTACAGTTTTGCCCTTGCGCGTGGCCCTGCCGAAGCGGTGGCAATTGGTGGCGCAACGGCTACGACACGCAACGTTCCCCGGAAACCAAATCTGGGGGCGAGAGAGGCCTCTCAGGGAGCCCAAGTCGCCCCCTGGGAGGTCCAAGAGGCCTGCTAGGATGCCCGAAAGCCGTCGCAGGAAGTCAGAGGGCTGTCTGTTTCAAGGTTCTCCCCCAGGGGACCCCCAGGAGACGCAGGAAGCTCTGCGGGGGGCCCAGGAGGGCCTTCGGGAAACCCGCATGAGCCTCCTAAAAAACCAAACCTGTATAACCACATCAGAACCAGGAACGCACCTCGCACTGTGGGGAAAAGGTTCCCACTTTCGCGAATGCATCGCAAAAGTGGCATCCCAACCCAATAATATGGGCGGACATGAAGCCAGATAATTGTAAACGATCACTTTCTAACCTGGCCCGACAGCCCCGCAGGGGTCTCCCTGAAGCCGCGGAGACATTTCCGGAGGACCCGAATCGCCCCCTGAATCGTCCCCACGAATCGGCCTCTGGAAAATCCCAACGAAATTCGGCGCGCCCCCTGAAACAATGCAGATTTGCATGAGAAATAAATTGCAGTGTGATTTAGGGTTAACGAATCGCGGCACGATTCGGGCCGCAACTCGGGGGGCAGTTCGGTAGAACATTCGAGGTGTCACTTCGGCGGACGCTTCGGGGGGGCGAGGGAAAGGGGGGAGTTGGTCGAATTCTTGGTTGGAGTTCTGGGCTGCCGAGAAGGTTCCGAGAGTTAAGTCGGGCCTGTCCCTCTACAGGGGAGAACCTCAAAAACAGTCAAAAAAATAGTCTGGGGACGATTTCGTTCACCATCTTTGACTATTTGGGAACATGTGTTGACCATGTGCTATTTTTCGTCCAAAAATCCGCCTGTGGGGGGACATGCCCGACCTAATCCAAGATGCTCGCTAGAAGCGCCCCGAGGGGGCCTCGGACGCATCCGAGAGAGGCCACCGGCCCCTCCACCCGGGCGGGGGCTGGCGGGGCGGGCCGGAGGCCGCTGGACAGCGGTCCGAACCTGCGCCCCCACGCGATGCCCTGCTGCACCTACAGTCAAGTCGGGCCCGTCCCCCTACAGGCCGATTCGGGACGAAAAATGAAAGATAGCCAAGAAATACCCTAAAATATTCAAAAATGGTCAACAGATCGTCCCCAGACTATTTTGGGACTATTTTCTAATATTCCTCCTGTAGAGGGACAGGCCCGACATAAACCTAGTGGGGGCGCGCGTCAAGAAACCATGTGCTTTTCGTCAGGGTATCTTGGGTTTCTCCGCTCCTCGCGCTGCGCGACGACCTCCCGCAGCCGCTGATGGAGCTGCTGCGTTCGGGGTGCTCCAGGTTTCCCCTCGGGTGCACCTCGCGCACGGGTTCTCAAGGTTGGGTTTCTTGCGAGGGCTTCTTGCGGCCGCGCCCGCACTGTACCCCATCCACCGCGAGTGCCCTAGATCGATCTGGGCGGCAATTAAATCATTCATCGCATGTAGATACAAGATATGCTCATGCGTTGACACCGCGCACTGTCGGTTACACGGGCGCTTCTTCGCACGAGTTGTCCCTCACCTGCTTTTCGAAGACGATTTCGGGGGACCCACAATTGAGGAGCAGGGGACCTCTTCGATCCTCCACCCGCGCCCTGGCCCAGAACACCATGGCCCGCCGCCCCAGCCGGCGCGCGGGCCCGGGGCAGCGCTCCCCGTCAGGCCGCCTCATGTCCGCATCGGAGTAGCCCGCCCAAGTGATCCTGGCAGTGCCCTCCCATCGTCGCCGTCGCCGTCGGCCGTCGGCCTCATCCTCCTCCTCCTCCGCCTCCTCCCGATCCTCCTCCTCCTCCTCCTCCTCCTCCTCCTCCTCCTCCTCCGCCGCCTCCGCCTCCGCCTCCGCCTCCGCCTCCGCCTCAGCCTCCTCCTCCTCCTCCTCCTCCTCCTCCTCCTCCTCCTCCTCCTCCTCCTCGTCCTCCCTCCCCCTCCTCCTCCTCCTCTTCCACGTCCTCCTCCTCCTCCTCCTCTCTCCTCGCCTCCTCATCCTATCATCCATCACCACCCCCACGACCACCACCACCACCATCCATCATCATCATCTCATCATCATCATCATCATCATCATCATCATCATCATCATCATCGCATCATCATCATCATCATCATCCCATCATCATCATCATCATCATCATGATCATCTCATCATCATCATCATCGCATCATCTCATCATACATCATCATCATCGCATCATCATCATCATCATCTCATCAGCATCATCATCATCAATCAGCATCATCAGCATCATCAGCATCAGCATCAGCATCAGCATCATCATCATCATCAGCAGCATCAGCATCATCAGCATCAGCATCAGCATCATCATCATCAGTATCAGCATCAGCATCAGCATCAGCATCAGCATCATCATCATCATCAGCATCATCATCATCACCATCATCATCATCATCACCACCAAAATCATCATCATCATCATCAGCATCAGGATCATCATCATCAGCATCAGCATCAGCATCAGCATCAGCAGCATCATCATCAACACCATCATCATCATCATCGTCGTCGTCATCATCACCATAATCAGCATCATCGTCATCGTCATCGTCATCATCGTCATCATCATCATCAGCAGCAGCATCACCATCATCATCAGCATCAGCATCATCATCATCATCTTCATCATCTTCATCGTCAACATCAGCATCATCATCATCATCATCAGCATCAGCAGCATCATCATCTGCAGCCTCAGCATCATCATCATTATCAGCATCATCATAACCATCAGCATCGGCATCATCAGCATCATCAGTATCGTCATCATCATTATCAGCATCCTCATCACTGTCATCATCATCATATTCATCATCATCAGCATCATCAGTATCAGCATCATCATCATCAGCAGCATCATCATCATGTTCCTCGTCATCACCATCATCATCATCATCAACAGCATCAGCATCATTATCAATATTAGCCTCATAAGCATCGTCATCACGATCATCATCAGTATCATCATCGGCATCATCAGCATCGTCAGCATCATCATCATCATCAGCAGCATCAGTAGCATAATCAGCATAATCGGCAGCATCGTCATCATCATCATCAGCATCATCATCGTCAACAGCATCATCATCATCATCATCCTCATCAGCATCAGCAGCATCATCATCGTCAGCATCATCAGCATCCTGATCATCCTCATGATCATCAGCAGCAGCATCAGCGCATCAGCATCAGCAGCAGCAGCATCGTCGTCGTCGACGTCAGCACCATCATGACAATCATCAACAACAGCACCACCACAATCAGCATCATCGTCATCAGCAGCATCATCAGCATCATCAACAGAATCGTCAGCACATTCATCATCACCGTCTTCAGCAGCATCACCAGCATCATCAGCATTATCAGCATCACCATCTCCATCATCAGCATCAGCATCAGCATCAGCATCAGCAGCGGCAATATCATAATCATCAGCATCATCATCTCCAACAGCATCAGCACCACCGTGAGCATCATCAGCATCGTCAGCATCATCAGCATCATCAGCAGATGTATCATCATCATCGGCATCATCATCATCATCGTCATCATCATCATCATTATCATCGTCGACAGCATCAGCATCATCATCAGCATCATCACCTGCAGCATCAGCATCGTCATCATCATAAACATCGCCATCATCGGCATCATCATCAGCAGCAGCAACACCATTGACACCGGCATCAGCAGCAGCATCATCAGCAGCAGCAACAGCAGCATCATCATCAGCATCACCATCATGATCATCATCATCACCAGCATCACCAGCACACTCATCATCACCGTCATCAGCAGCATCATCAGCATACTCATCGGCAGCATCAGTATCATCGCCAGCAGCGTCAGCATTAGCATCATCATCACAATCATCATCATGGTGATCACCACCACCATCATCATCAACATCATCATCATCGCCATCATCATCGTCATCATCGGCAGCAGCAGCATCATCATCCCCATCTTCCTCCTCCTTCCCCCCCCCCCTCCTCCCGCCTCCTCCTCCTCCTCATCATCCCCTCTGTCTGGTCCTCCTCCCCCTCCTCTGCTCCTCCTTTCCCTCCTCCCCCCCTCTCATCCCTTTCCTCCGTCTCCTCCTCCTCCTCCTCTTCCTCCTCCTGCTCCTCCTCCTCCTCTTCTACTTTTTATTGGTAGTGTCCTTCTTCTGCTTCTTCCTCTCATTAGTCTTAATAGTACTACTAGTATTAATACTATTGTGCATATTCTTCTTATGTTTCGTATTCCGAATATCATTATGCTGTGTCTTCCTCCTCCTCCTCCTCCTCCTCCCGCTTCCCCCCTCCTCCACCTCCTCCTCCTCCTCATTCTCCCTCTCTCCTCATCCTCCCGCCGCCTCCTCTTCCACCTCCTCCTCCTCCTCTTCTTCCCCTCCTCCGCCTCCTCCTCCTCCTTCCTCCTCCTCCTCCTCCTCCCTCCGCCTATCCTTATATCGTCCTACTCCTCCTCCTCCTCCTCCTCACGCTCCTTCCTCTCCACCTCTACCTCCTCCTCCTCCTCCTCCTCCTCCTCCTCCTCCTCCTTCCTCCTCCTCTCCTCCTCCTCCTCCTCCTCCTCCTCTCCTCCTCTCCTCCTCCTCCTCCTCCCTCCTCCTCCTCCTCCTCCTCCTCCTCCTCCTCCTCCTCCTCCTCCTCCTCCTCCTCCTCCTCCTCCTCCCTCTCTCCTCCTCATCCTCCAACTCTGTTTACATGTGCCTGTGCGGCCGAAGTCATTGACACTCGGCAGCGAGCAAATCTGCCCCTCCGAATGGAGGTTGGCAACATGCAAGAGCTTACTCCAAATTACGGGTGTCTGGTATGGCCATGTCACGCTTCTGAAGTGTCCGCTCTTCAAGCGTGGGGCTCCAGTCCGCTACCTAGCGTCAAACCAAAGCGGGAAGCGAGCCGCTGATCCGTCGAAGGTTCCACCCCCACTCCACGCCCAACACACTCCACCGTCTTCCCCCCGCCTCGGGCCATGAGGCTTGAAAGGCGAACCATTGGTGCGGGCAATGAGCTCCAAATCAAACGGAACTGCAGGGCGGGGTTCTGCGATGGTCCACCCCGTGACTTGGAGGGCTCACCCTGGGAACAACCTATGAGCCGACCTTGATTTCTGACGACGAAGCGCAATCGAAGGCCCCGTGGCTTAGGGCAGGCTTTGCACAACGATTCGATCCCTCCCCAGCTGCAAGCGTCACAGGTCGTGTCAAAAAGGACAATCCTCCTCCTCATCCACATCATTCTCCTCCTCCTCTTCCTCCTCCTCCTCCTCATCCTCATCCTCTTCCTCCTCATCCTCCTCCTCCTCCTCCTCCTCCTCCTCCTCCTCCTTCTCCTCATCCTCCTCCTCGTATTCGTCCTCCTCCTTCTCCTACTTCTCCTTCTCCTCCTCCTCCTTCTCCTCCTCCTCCTTCTCCTCCTCCTTCTCCTCCTCCACCTCCTCCTCCTCCACCTCCTCAACGGCCATCGCCCCCCGCAGCGGCCCACGGCTCGGTCCAATTCTCGCAGATGTCGAGCCGGTTTTCCAGCCGCTCCACCACGGAGTGGTCGCCCTGCCGGGCCGCGCGGCGGGGAGGGGCGGGGGAGGAGGCAGAGGAGGAGGAGGAGGAGGAGGAGGAGGAGGAGGAGGAGGACGACGAGGAGGAGGAGGAGGAGGCGGAGGAAGAGGAGGAGGAGGAGGAGAGGAGAGGGGGAGGAGAAGGGAGGGAGGAGGGCAAGAGGGAGACAGAAGGAGCAGCGGAGGAGGAGGAGGAGGAGTAAGGAGGAGGAAGGAGGAGGGACGGAGGGGAGGAGGGACGACGAAACACGAGAAGGGAGGAGGGGAGGGAAGCGGAAGGGGTGGGCGCCTAAGGACGAGGGGGGAGCGGGGGGGCACGAGGACGAGGGGGGAGGCGGGAGAGGGAAGTGAGGATGGGGAGGAGTGAGGAGAGGCGAGGAGGGGGGAGGCGGAGGAGGGAGGAGGAGGAGGAGGAGGAGGAAAATGAGGAGGAGGAGGAGGAGGAGGAAGAATAAAGGAGGAGAGGGAGGGGAGCACCCGCCACCCGTCAGGCTCAGACGATCTGAAAATTACGTCAGATGCGGGTGAGGATGGGCGGGAAGAGGCGAAGGGAAGGCTGGCGAGGAGGAGCGAAACGAGGAGAAAGAGGAGGAGGAGGAGGAGGAGGAGGAGGAGGAGGAGGAGGAGGAAGGGGAGGAGCACGAGGAGGAGGCGGGAGGGGAGGGAGGAGGAGAGGCGAGGAGGGCGGGAAGGAACCAGTCTTTGACGTGCGCGCCCTGGGCCCAGGAGGAAACTCCGGGGGAGGACGAGGGCGGCGAGGAGGTGCAGCGGCCACGAGGCCGCGCAACGCCCGCCCTCCTGACAGAGGTGTGGCCCTGCCCCGTGCCCCGGGGGCTCCGAGGCACTCGACGGCGCCCCTTTGGCGGCGCGCGCAGATCGGGCGTTCGCAGAACTGGGTTTAGTGGAACCTGGTTTAGTGATGCGTACTGGGGGACGACCCCCCGCCCCGTTCCACTAACCGGAACTGCCGTCACCCGAAAAAACACCAGCTGCGGCAGACCTGGTTTAGTGATTCCGGCCGATTCAGGGGCTCCGGGGCCCTACCACTCGCCGGGTCCCCTCACCTGGGGTGCTGGCTACACCCGAGGCAGAGGGGGGTGGGGGGGGAGGGGGGCGGGCTTCTTGGAAGGAGGCTGCCTCTTGGAAGGCGCTGGCCCTGCATCTACAGACAGGGCCCGCGCCCTGCAAGAGGTGGGGGGGGAGGGGGGAAGGCTCCTTGGAAGGAGGCTGCCTCTCAGAAGGCGCCGGCCCTGAATCTATAGACAGGGCCCGCGCCCTGGCCCTCCCCCCCTGCCCCCGCCCCCGCTCTGCGCGTGGCCGCTCCCTCGCGTGGGCTTCGCGCCACCGGGCCGGGCACTCTCGGCGGAAGGGGGGGGCACAGCGAGCGCGGGGTGCAAAGGTCGCGCGCCTCCTGCACACCTGCGGGGCCCACGGAGGCCGGCCAGGGGCCTGCCATCCTCGATATCCCCCCAGTTGATTGCCCCCCCCCGTTGCCATCCACCCAGGTCTCTCGCGACCGCCGACCTGGCCTCTCAGGACGCCGGATGGGGCCGAGGGGAGCCAGCGTGGCAGCGGGCGTCCTTGACGTGATTGATCAACTTCTTCACGCAGTCCCCCCCGGGGCCGTCCTCCTCGTCGTCCGAGTCGTCCATGAACTCCTCTTGGAAGCGGCACTTCAATCGGCACTTCAATCGGCGGTGGACAAACCTCCCTTTAGTAAACCTCCCCTCAATGAAAGCGGCCTGGGACCGAAACCGACGCACCCGGGCCGGGAACAAAAGTGACGGCCGCGACGCCCTTCTCGCGCACCGAAAACGGCCAATTCCTCAGTCGACGTGCCAGGGTGGGAGGTCGACCCACCGGCGCTCCGAGGATGGGGGCCCGAGACGTGGGGCCCCCGGGCGAGTAGGCCGTGGGGAAAATGCACACACTCGACCTCGAGAGGCCCGCTCCTGTCCCGGGGGGGCCCTGCGCTCGGGGCCCCGGCTTCGACCCCTCGAGCGGAGGGGGCAGGGCGGAATCAGAGTAAGTATGCCCACGGGGGGCAAAGAGCGAGGAGAGGGGCGGGATGGGAATCGAAGGCATCCCATGCCTGACCGGGAGGGCTCCGAGACGGCCTTCAGAGCGCCCCCGGGAGCGGCGCGAGGGGGCCTTTGGTAGCCACGAGCTGGCCTCCGACGGGGTGGGGTGCGTAATGGAGTCCGCCATCTTTTTTGACTGGTGGCCTCTAGGATGGTCTCGAGAGGCCTCCGAGACTCCCGAGAGGGCCTCAAGAGAGACCTAAAGGCCTCCCAAATTGCCCAAACGGGGCCCAAAAATGGCCCACAGAAGCTGCCAAGACGCTCACACAACGAAAGGTCCACGAAAACATGTCTGGTTGACTACTGGGTCTCCTAAGGTTGATGCCGGCGTCGGCCTTCGGTTTGAGGGCAGCAAGCCCTCTTTGTTCGACTGCGTGTTCCTAGATCGAGCCATCTCGACTAGGCATTGGTTGTGGAATGGTTGGTGCGAAGCGTCAAGCAGTTTCACCAAGGATACAGTTACAACACAAGCAAGTTTTAAAATTGGGTTTCCGCCCTTGGCGTCACACACTCTCGTGAAAAATGAGCCTGGCGCCATATGCAATTCCGAGTGCCGTCGTTGTTAGTATCGTTCTCGGTGGAGCCCCATTACAGGGCCACGAAACGCGTGAGGGATGTGCCAAAATAGATAAGAATGCCGCTTGCGAACGTGGCCACTGGGGCATTCGATGGAGCTCACTCTATGGGGACACGAAGCGCGTGATTGGTGTGCCGAAATGGGTGGGGCGGCCGCATGCGAACATTGCCAATGGGGCCTTTGGTGGGGCTCCATGTGGGGCCACGCAACGCGTGAGCGGTGTGCTGGATTAGGCGGGGCGGACGCGTGCGGGCTGCGCCGCTGAGACCTTTCGTGGGGCTCCCTATGAGGGCACGAATCGTGTGAGGGGTTCGCCGGCATGACTGGGACGGACGCGTGCGGGCTGCACCACTGGGACCTTCGGTGAAGCTCCCTATGGGGCGTGAGGGTGTGCCGAAATGGGTGGGGCGGACGCATGCGGGCTGCGCCGCTGGGGCCTTCGGTGGAGCTCCCTGTGGGGCCACGACGCGTGTGAAGAAGGTGCCGAAATGGGTGGGGCGGACGAGCCCCGGCTGTGCCGCTGGATAACCTCATGCCCGTGAGAATAAACACTAGGGGATAATAAAGTTCGGGGTTCAGGGAGAGATAATAAAAGTAGCCCAGCAGACCTCAGCAGAATCTCGATGTAAGAGATGATCAAGAGGAGACCAAGCCGAGCACGTTTTGAGACATCCTTGGCGTTTAGTTTTCATAGAAATATCCTCAACAATGGCTTATCTCGCTGGAATGGAGGAAGCTATATATAAAAAAGAAGAATAAAAAGAATAAAGAATAAAGTAAAAGAAATGATAGGAGGAGGAGAAGGACGAAGAGAAGAAAAAAATCTCGAGTTTCAAATCTATTAGATTTTATTTACAAGCGCTTTATGAAAATTGTTTTTTGTAAGTGCTCGTGTAGGGTAGCTCATGTGCCTCAATTTCCATGGATAATCAACCCCAGAGATAAAAAAGTTCAGGCGAGCGTGGGGACAGAGAGAAATATAAAAGAAGAAGAATACAGTAGAAGAATAATAAGAAAGAAGAAGAAGAGGAGAATAAGAAGAGGACGAAGAAAGGAAAAATCCAAAGTTCCAAATCTATCAATTTTAATTTACAAACGCTTTATGAAAATTGATGTTTTAAGTGCTCGTGTAGGGTAGCTCATGTGCTTCATTTTCCATGGATAATCAACCCCAGGGATAAAAAAAGTTCAGGCGAGCGTGAGGACAGATAGAAATATAAAAGAAGAAGAGGAAAGTAGAAGAATAAAAAGAAGAGAAGAATAAGAAAAGAAGAAGAAGAGAAGAACGGAAAAATGGAAAGTTCCAAATCTATCAATTTTAATTTACAAACGCTTTATGAAAATTGATTGTTTTAAGTGCTCATGTAGGGTAGCTCATGTGCTCCCCTTTCCATGGATAATCAACCCCAGAGATAAAAAAGTTCAGGCGCGCGCGGGGATAGCAACATCGCTTGATGTTGCTATCTCAACATAGCGTTTCGAGGTGATAATGAAGTTCGGCCTCAGCGCTCGCCGCCCAATGTGAATTTTGTATAGGGCGACGATAATCAACTCTAAACACTGAAGGGGGGGGTCCCTTTATTATCATCGGCATGCGGTTAGTTCGGTGGAGCTCCCTGTGGGGACACTAAACGCGTGAAGAGCGTGCCGAAACGAGCTGGGCGGACGCATGTGGACCCTGGCGCTGGGGCCTTCGGTGGGGTTCCCTGTGGGGCCACTGGGCGTGCCGAAATGGGTGGGGCGGACGCATGCGGGCTGCGCCGCTGGGACCTTCGCTGGAGTTCCCTGTGGGGCCACGAAGCGTGTGAGGGGTGTGCGGACATGAATGGGGTGGGCACGTGTGGACTGCGCCAGTGTGACTTCGGTGGAGCCCCCATATGGGGACACGAAGCGTGCGAGGGGTGTGGCGAGATGGGGCAGGGGGACGCATGTGGACTATGCCACTGGGGCCTTCGCTGGAACCCCATATGGGGCCACGATACGTATGAGAGGTGTGCCAAAATGGGGCGGGGGACGCATGTGGACTGTGCCATTGTGGCCTTCGGCAGATCTCCCTATGTGGCCACGAAACGTGTGAGGGGTGATCCGAAATGGGACTGTGCCACTGCGACATTCGGTGGACCTTCCTATGGAGACACCAAGCGTGTGAAGGGTGTGCCGAAAGTGGGCGGGGGGACGCATGTGGACTGCGCCACTGGGGCTTTCGGTGGAGCCCCCCATGGGGTCATGAAACGTGTGAGAGGTGTGGCGAGATGGGGCGGGGGGACGCACGTAGACTGTGCCACTGTGGCCTTCGGTGGAGCTCCCTATGTGGCCACTGAACGTGTGAGGGGTGCGCCGAAATCGAGGAGTGGCACTGGGGCATTCGGTGGATCCCCCTACGGGGACACTAAGCGTTTGAGGGGGGTGCCGAAATTGGGCAGGGGGTCGCATGTGGACTGTTCCACTGGGGCCTTCGGCGGAACTCCCTATGGGGCCACGAAGCGTGTGAGGGGTGTGCCGAACTGGGGCGGGCCACTGGGGCCTTCAGTGGAGCCCCCTGAGGGTCACGAAACGCGTGAGGGTGTGCCGAAATGGAGCGGTGGGACGCATGTGGACCCTGCCGCTGGAGCCTTCGGTGGGGCTCCGCTTGAATGCACGAAAGATGTGAGGGGTGCGCCGAAATGGAGTGGGGGGTCCTATGTGGACTGTGGGGCAACGGAACGTGTGAGGGGCGTGCCGAAATGGGACGGGTGAACGCATGTGGACTGTGCCACTGGGGTCTTCGGTTGAACCCCCCATGGGGGCACGAAGCGTGTGAAGGGTGTGCCGACATGGGACGAGGGGACGCATGTGGACTGTGCTACGGAGGCCTTCGTTGAAGCTCCCTATGGGGCCACGAAGCGCGTCAGGGAATGCCGAAATGGTGTCGGAATGGTTGACATCTGGAAGGCGGAAGCAAGGATGGAAGGAAGGAGGGGGGGAGGAAAGGAGAAGTGAGAAAGAATGGAGGCCGCTGTCTCTTCAAAATGAGGACCCAACTCCATATAATGGCTGGAAAACAAAACAATTGCACTAATGAGGCACAGGTGGTTTCCAAAATGGAGTTCCGGCATTGGCGCTGCGAACACTGTCCTTAACGCCACAAGCTCTGTCCTTCAAAGCTTGCAACAGTTAAAAGGATGGAGGGAAATGAGGCTCTCGTATTGGTGCCGCGCGCTCGTCTTAAAAGATTGCAACAATTAGATAGCGCGGTTCGTTTTCAAAATGGAGTTTCCGCTGGGGGCGTCCTCAACAGCTGGCAAGCAGAAAATCATAACTGGGTAACAGGAACACGGATGGAGGGCGGCTCCTGGGATGGTTTTTGCTTGAGAATTTCTCAAAGCTTACGACGATGACGTTAGACGTGTGCAACGCTTACGCCAATGGAGGTGCACGGTTTCCC